CATTAATTACAGAGACCCAACAGTACCACCATGAGCAAGACCTTGGAGACAAGGGCAAGGAAAAACTGCCTGTTAAAAGGCAGAAACCTAGGACAGATCCTCCGGCTCTAGGTGGGTGGTCGTCTGTCTCGACCAGTTGGGGTGAGAGAGAGAGAGAGAGAGAGAGAGAGAGAGAGAGAGAGACAGACAGACAGACAGGTGCACAGCAACAACAGTATTAGCAATGGCAATCTAGCAGGACCATGGCAGGAGGCTCCACCAGGATCGACAAGAACCTGCGAGACAAGAAAGCACAAGAACTCCGGGGAAGAAGTGAAGTTAGTAACATGCATTAATGGGACATGAATGAGTGCAGAAAGAGAGAGGAAGGGAGGAGCTCAGTTCACCATGGGAAATCCCCTGATAGTCTAGGCCTAAAGCAGCATAACTAAGGGATGGTTCAGGACTCACCTGATCCAGCCTTAACTATAAGCTTTATCAAAGAGGAATGTCTTAAGCCTACTCTTGAATGTGGTGAGGGTGTCTGCCTCCCGAACCACAAATGGAAGCTGGTTCCACAAGAGAGGAGCTTGGTAACTGAAGGCTCTGGCTCCTGTTCTACTTTTAGAGACAAATTTACCCAGTATGTCACCTGCCACACCAGAGAAAATAAAATACTGGATCTGTTTTATGCCAACACCAAGGAGGCATATAATTCAACACCCCTCCCTCCCCTGGGGAGATTAGATCGCAACCTGGTTCATCTCCTGCCTGTGTATGAACCCCTCGTGCACAGACAGCCAGCTGTGACCCGCAAAGGAAACCTCAGTTACGAACTTCCAAAATATAAACAGTTTATCAAATGCCCGACCAGAGAGAAGAATATACTGGATCACTGTTACACTACAGTAGGCGGAGTTTATCACGCCGTCCCCCGCGCCGCACTGGGCCTCTCCGACCACCTCATGGTCCACCTGATTCCCTCATACAGGCAGAAATTAAAGCTCTGCAAACCTGTTGTGAGGACATCAAAGCAGTGGACCAGTGAAGCTGTGGAGGATCTCCAGGCGTGCTTGGACTCTACTGACTGGGACGCGTTCAGGACTGCTACTAACAGTCTGGATGAGTACACAGAGGCTGTGACATCATATATCAGCTTCTGTGAGGACTGCTGTGTACCATCACGCACCAGGGTGAGTTACAACAGGAGGACAAACCCTGGTTCATAGCCAAACTCATTCAGCTGGGGTTGCAGAAGGAGCAAGCGTTCAGGAGTGGGGACAGGGACAAGTTTAAGGAGTCAAAGTACAAGTTTAGCAAGTCGGTGAGAGAAGCTAAACGACAGTACTCTGAGAAACTTCAACATCAGTTCTCAGCCAATGACTCTGGTTCTGTCTGGAAGGGGCTCAGACAGATAACTAACTACAAGCCAAAAACCCCCCACTCCATCAATGACCTGTGCCTGGCAAACGAGCTGAATGAGTTCTACTGCTGCTTCGACAGACAAAGGAGCAGTCCTGACACCATCCCCCGTGAGACCCCTCACCAGCCCCACCTCACCAGTCCCTCCCCCCCAGCCCAGCAGGAGCCGGGGCCACTTCACAGCTTCACACCTCTGTGAATCCCTCCTCCTCCACCACAGTGATGACCCTCTGCCTCCAAGAGAGGGATGTCAACAGACTCTTCAAGAGGCAGAACCCCCGCAAAGCAGCCGGACCAGATTCTGTCTCTCCATCCACCCTGAAGCACTGTGCTGACCAGCTGTCTCCGGTGTTCACTGACATCTTCAACACCTCTTTGGAGATATGTCATGTGCCAGCCTGCTTCAAAGCATTCACCATCATCCCTGTCCTCAAGAAAGCAAGGACCACAGGATAAATGACTACAGACCTGTTGCCCTCACCTGTGGTCATGAAGACTTTTGAGCACCTTGTTCTCTCCCATCTGAAAGCCCTAACGGACCCTCTCCTGGACCCTCTGCAGTTCACCTACAGAGCCAACAGGTCTGTAGATGACACAGTAAACATGGCCATGCACTTCACCCTCCAGCATCTGGACTCCCCAGGAACCTACGCCAGGATCCTGTTTGTGGACTTCAGCTATGTATTTAACACCATCATCCCACCTGCATCTCTAGTCACCAGACCGTCAGGCTCCTGAAGTTTGCGGATGACACCTCCCTCATTGGGCTCATCTCTGGTGGAGATGAGTCCGCCTACAGATGGGAGATTGACCATCTGGTGACCTGGTGCAGCCAGAACAACCTGGAGCTAAACGCTCTAAAAACAGTGGAGATGGTTGTGGACTTTAGGAAGAACCCAGCCCCACCCACCCACATCATCCTGTGTGACTCCCCAGTTGACTCTGTGGAGTCCTTCCACTTCCTGGGTACCATTATCACCCAGGACCTCAAGTGGGAGCTGAACATCACCAAGAAAAGGCCAGCAGAGGATGTACTTCCTGCGGCAGCTGAGGAAGTTCAACCTGCCAAAGACGATGATGGTGCACTTCTACACCGCCATCATCGAGTCCATCCTCACCGCATCCATCACCATCTGGTACGCTGCGGCCACTGCCAAGGACAAGGGCAGACTGCAGCGTATCATTCGATCAGCTGAGAAGGTGATCGGCTGCAATCTGCCATCCCTCCAGGACCTGTATGCCTCTAGGACCAGGAAGCGTGCAGGTAAGATTGTGGCTGACCCCTCCCACCCCGGTCACAATCTCTTTGAGGTACTTCCCTCTGGCAGGAGGCTGCGGTCCATCAGGACTAAAACGTCTCGCCATAAAAACAGTTTCTTCCTGTCTGTAGCTGGCCTCCTTAACAAGGCCCGGATTACCCACTGTCATTGACTCTTATACCCACGCTGTATATAAAGTATGCATTACATCAAAGCACCCACGTTATTCTGCACAGCTTTCTCTCTCTCTTCTTATCTTTATATTTATTTTTTGAAAGTACTTTATTTTTTTGTGTTTTTTTTGTGTGATTTGAATAATTGTATAATTGTATATTTGCATTTGTATATGTGTATATTTTATGCACCAACTGCACCAGGTCACATTCCTCGTAGGCGTAAAAACCTACTTGGTAATAAACAAAATTCTGATTCTGATTCTGATTCTGATCTCCACCCTCTGGAGGGATCATCCATGGACCCACTGCAGTTCGCCTATCAGCCTGGCATCGGGGTGGATGACGCTGTCATCTTCCTCCTTCACAGAGCTCTTTCTTACCTGGAAATGCCTGGAAGCACTTAGGATTACATTCTTCGACCTCTCCAGTGCTTTCAACACCATCCAGCCTCTGCTTCTGAGGGACAAGCTGGAGCTCTCAGGTGTGGATTATCACCTCACATCCTGGATTATGGACTACCTCACCAACCGCCCACAGTATGTGAGGACCAAGGACTGTGTCTCGGACATGGTGGTCTGCAGCACAGGGGCTCCACAGGGAACAGTTTTGGCTCCTTTCCTGTTCACCCTGTACACTGCAGACTTCAGGAACAGTTCTCTGCACTGTCACCTGCAGAAGTTCTCTGATGACTCTGCCATCATAGGTCTCATCACTGATGACGACGACAGGGAATACAGAGAACTGATAAAGGACTTTGTGGACTGGTGTCAGTGGAACGGCCTCCAAATCAACACAGGGAAAACCAAGGAGCTGGTGGTGGATTTCTGCAGGCGCAGTCACAACAACAACAACAACACCGGTGAACACTCTGGGTATGGACATAGAGAAAATGGACTCTTATAGGTACCTGGGTGTTCACCAATAAACTGGACTGGACTCATAACACTCAGGCACTGACAGCCTTAGTAATGCATTATCTCATTAATAGACTCAATTTGCTTCTGTCAGAGTGTAAATAAACCAACTCATTGTTTTAATCACACTCTTGACCTTGTTCTATCATATGGCATTGATATTGAACATTTAATAGTCTTCCCACATAATCCTTTCCTATCTGACCATTATTTAATAACTTTTGAATTCATATTATTAGATTATAAGCCATTAGGCAAAACTTCCTACAGCAGATGTCTATCTGACAGTGCTGTAGCTAAATTTAAGGGGGAGATTCCATCAGTGTTTAATTCAATGCCATTTCTGATTATGACAGAGTCCTATAATAACTTTAGTCCCTCCGAAATTGATAATCTTGTTAATAGTGCTGCAGGCTCACTACGATCAACATTAGATTCTATCGCCCCTATAAAAAGGAAATTATTAAAACAAAGGAGACTAGCACCGTGGTACAACCACCAAACCCGCCAATTAAAGCAAAGAGCTCAGAAATCTGAAAGGAAATGGCGCTCTTCCAAATGATCAGAATATCGTTCAATTTGGCATGATAATCTTAAAACCTATAGAAAGGCCCTCCGTAATGCCAGAGGAGCCTATTACTCAGCACTAATAGAAGAAAATAAGAATAACCCTAGGTTCCTCTTCAGCACTGTAGCCAGGCTGACAGAGAGCCACAGCTCTATTGAGCCACATATCCCCATAAACTTAAGTAGCAACAAATTTATGAGCTTCTTCTATAATAAAATTATTACTATTAGAGAGAAAATTGATAACCAAATGCCCTCAACAGGTATCACTTTCTCTCCAAGTTCAGGAACTTTAACAAATGTAAAAATAGTTTGATTTTAATACAACTAATATTAGGCCTGTGGAGCACCCTAGTTGTTCACCTGGTAGAGGCTGTGTCCCTGCTGCAGTGGCCATGGGTTCGAATCCTTAATAATTGCCACAAAACTTAACCTAATATATTATTATTATATAAAATCTACATGTCCCTCAGAATCGTTACACTGAGTGTATTATATATAATATGCACTGTGGTACATATTTAGGTGTCTTGTATGCCCTGTTTTGTTTTATAGCCCGTCATTTATAATAATTCACTTCAATTAATTTCTAAACCTCTCTTTATGTATGTATGTATTATGAGAGAACATTTGAGGATTCTTCTTTTGGGAAGTGGCACTTTATTTATTTCATAAAACACACATCAGGACAAAATTACTTTTATTTGCTCTGTTTGAGAACTGTGTACATTTAGGGAAAGACACATAAAGCTATGAAAAGTACCTCAGGGGGGAGAAAATATAGTATATAGTTATGATAGCACTTTTTTTTACAAGCAGATGTCAAAACACCAAACATATAATCATCAGATTTCTTATTACAGATGCTTTTTATTGCTTTGTGAAAACTTTATCACTTCAAACTTCATCAATACAGATTACTTTCACTGTCATGAAATTATTCACATAATGCAAAAATGAATTTATCATATATGGATAATGATGGGCATGTAATAAATGCATAAAAACTATTTTCTTCCAAACATCACCTCTATAAACAGTGCACAGACAATGGTGTAACAGTAAAACAGAGAGAACAGGAGTGTGTTTTAAAAGGTGAAACTGTTCTTAGTGGCTCTTAGTGAAGAAAACGGAGCATCCCAACCGACAGCACAGATTTCGCATGAGGACGGGCCTGATGGTTTGATCCCTGAGTCCGTAGATGAGGGCACTCAGACACCTCGGGAGGATACTCAAGCACACAAAGCAAACATTGTAAATCCGCATAAGGGCTAATCTGTCCACAGTTCTGGCGATGTCCACAATAATGGTGGTGTACATGGTGGAGGTGAGAATCAGGCTCAGCTGAATCAGGTGCAGCAGAAGCGTTTGAAGAGCCTTTCTAGCCGAGGCTTTGTCTGTAGAGGCCGATCTGGCTACCAGCGAAACACCGACATAGGAGGCCACGATTACTACACCCACAGACAGGAAGAGAGTGCTGGCAAACACGTCCTCAAAATCGTCAAAGATTGCTCCGAAAAAAACAGCTTCTTTAGAGCAAAAGTCATTCATGTGCAGATTTAGGGAGATTTTTGTGAACAAATACAACAACACAGAAACTCGAATGAGGATGTGGATAAAACTGAAGGCCCACACCAGAGCGATGGCCATGCCTGTGCTTCTTATGGTAAAGATGGTAGCGTGCCTGAGCGGATAGCACACAGCCACGAATCTCTCAAGTGACATCACAGCCAGATTGAAAGGCGAGATGATGGCCGTGAAAACTGAGAACAGAACGAGGGCACTACATGCATAATACGTAAGTTTTACCCGTAACGAAGCCAGAAGGTAAAGCAGGATGTTTGACACCAGGTGAGCAGTGTCAGCAAACAGCAGGTTGAACAGCAGGATGTAACGGGACGTCTCACAAAACACTTGCTTATTCCTCAGAGTGAACAGCAGGATGCTGTTAATGTAGAGGAAAGAGCAACTTGTGCCCACAGACAACATGCCAAACAGCGTTAGCTCATGGGACGCTTGATACTGCAGACTGGCAGTGACATTGGCCCTCAGCACAGACATTACAAAGCGATAGCCGAAAGAACAAACTGCATCACTTATTCATGATTCATCATGTCAGAGAAGCTAAAAGTTATTACCGCAAACACCTTCTCAGTGTAGAACCACAAATTCTCCGGTGCTGAGCAGTCAAGACGAGTTTGTTTCCTCGAGGGCAAGCCAGTCGGTGCGTCTGCTTCCTGCAGTGTGCCCTTTATATACACTGTCCTCGAGCCACCTTCACATCATTAGTTCACTATCACTCAGCATGCTGATCAGATTAGTGACTAGTGATGTCATCTTTCTATCATCTATGCCTGTCTGTTTATTTCTGGCTTTCACTTAATCAAAAACACAGTAAATACTGTACTTATTTAGTCATTATAATTCAGTATCAACTCTAAAGGTGTCTGTTTCAACTCATTTGACCACTGAACTAGTAACCACAATATCCCCAGGCGGTCCAACCTCCCCCACTGTCATCCACTGTGAGCGACTGTTGGACTGACAGTCCGTCAGCAGCCCGGTGGACTCACAAACATCAGATTTCCACAGAGTAGGAAAAGTAAAAGTGTTCTTCCTGCTCATGAAGTTCAGTTATAAAATCCCACAATGTACTACAGGGCCGCTGACAGCGCAGGTAATCATACTGAACGAAGGACAGTAATAATGGACACTGACAGCAATGGGTACAGTCCTATAAATTTGCATATAGAGCAGGAGGTGAGATCTGATCACAAGCGATCGTCAGCGACTCATTCTAATGCCAGGTGTCCTGTGATCAGATCACCCAAGACACTGTAAAGAGGCTCAATAAGTTGTGAGAGTGAAGCACCAGGGTTTAGTGCCCCCTACTTCATTCACTCGTTCCCCTTAGTTGTTTAAAAGTGTGTTTTCTGACTGTGGTAGAATCTGGAAAGACTAGAAGAAGAATGTTTTTTTGCACATAATGGATAAAGATGAACCAAGATAATAAACTGTAGGAGGGATGAGGGGTGGGGGGAAAAATCAGCATTGATTCATGGAGGGATGGAGGAGTTCATAGATGGACTGTGTCGGTACGGAATACACTGTGTCGATTTCGTCAGTTTTACAAAGTTTGATGGTGAATCGAGAAAGTGCTTAAACATTTTCAGAGCTGAGAAGCTCCAGAAGCACCAGTGGGGGGAGCTATTGAGCCAACCAGGACCGGCTTCTCTCCAGCAGGCCAGTCCGCTCACAGACCCCTCTCACCCCCCACAGTAACACAGACCACTTGCAAGAACATTTTCGTATTCTTATCTTAACTTTCTTGTCCTTTTTTCTGCAAGGTGGGCTCGTATGAGTGTGCCACGTCAGATTCAGCAACCACTCCTAACTTCAGATTTCAATGAAAAACGATGAAGGCCACCTGTGTCAGGAATGGTGACCGGGACTCAGGCGCAGACTAGAGTGAAGTTTCAAATAAAGAGTTTTATTTGAAGTGCTCAAACAAACGTGGAATGAGTGGCCAGAGATCCAGATGAGGCAGATGAGACAGAGAGTGGGTATGGGGTCCAGGCTCCAGTGCTCTGGGTCTGGTGGTGAGACAGGGGAAAAAACAAGTTAGCAACAGGTAATTCTTAAATAGCAAAAGTTTCTGGTTTGGCTGGCGTGATATCATACTAGATGGTTCAACGATCCGGCGGGCACTGGAAGGTTGGGCTGGCTTATGAAGGGTGAGTTGATGGTGATGAGTAACAGGAGTGCTGAGTAGTGTGATGAACCACAGGTGTGTAAGTAGGAGCTCCAGTGGCCACGCCCACTAGTGGCATGAAGGAGGCCAGGGCCGTGACAGTACCCCCTCCCCGATGAGCACCCCCAGGCGGTCCTCCAGGCTTTTCAGGATGGGAGCGGCCCTGGCAACGGGAGTCCAAAATCCGGCGCACAGTGAACACTGGCTGGCCATCAATGAGCCGGGGGGGTGAAGGGGCCGGGAAGGAGGGAGCTGTGGGCTGATTAGGACGGGTTTGAGCAGAGAAACATGAAAGGCTGGATGGACCCTGAGAGTGCGGGGCAACTGGAGATGGACGGTCACAGGAGTGATAACCTTCTCGACAACAAAGGGGCCAATGTACTTGGGTGACAGTTTCTTCGAGACAGCTTTCAATGGGAGATCTCTTGTGGAGAGCTATACCTTGTCTCCAACGGAATAGGTGGGTGCAGGGGTGCGACGACGGTTGGCATGATGCTGATACTGGGCCGATACAGCAGAGCAGCTCGGGCTCCGAGCCAGGTTCGATGACATCTCCGGATGTAAGCCTGGACCGAGGGAACTGCCAACTCTCTCTCCTGAGTGGGAAACAGCAGGGGTTGAAAACCATAAACACATTGAAAAGGAGACAGACCTGTGGCTGATGTGGGCAGAGTGTTGTGGGCGTACTCCACCCATGGAAGCTGAGATGTCCAGGAAGGGGGTTTGGAGGATGCCAAACAGCACAGGGTGGTCCCCAGTTTTTGGTTAGCTCTCTCCGCTTGACTGTTCGCTTGGGGATGGAATCCTGAGGTCAGGCTTGCGGTGGCTCCGATGGCACGGCAGAATGACTTCCAAACAGCTGAGGTGAATTGTGGACCTCTGTCAGATACTATGTCTAAGGGCAGGCCGTGGACCGTGAACACCACAGAAACCAGGAGCTCAGCAGTTTTTTTGGCTGTGGGCAGTTTAGGCAGAGGCAGATAACGGGCAAACTTGCTAAAACGATCCACCACAGTGACAACAGTCATACCTTTAGAAGGTCAGTCCGGAAACAAAATCCAGAGACAAGTGGGACCACAGGCGATGCGGTATGGGCAGAGGTTGCAGGAAACCAGGAGGAGGTCGGTTGGAACTCTTGTTCTGAGCACATACGGGACAGGCCGAAACAAAGGTCTGAACGTCTGTCCTCATGTCTGGCCACCAGAACCGCCTGCGCAGGAACGCCAGAGAGCGGCCACTCCAGGATGGCACGAGAGTCTAGAGGAGTGACCCCACTGTAAAACAGACGGTCGGACAGAGAGAGGTACAAAAAACCGGGGGCATTACTGGGTCTGGCTGGTGCTGAAGCCCCCCAGGTGGCTGCCCCGATAATACAGGTTCTGGGTACAATGGTGTCAGGTTCCGCAGTTGTCTCCTCCCTCTCGAACAGTCGGGATAGTGAGTCAGGCTTCACATTCCTTGATCCGGGCCTGTAGGTCAGGGCAAAATTAGATCGACGAAAAACAGAGCCCAGTTGACTTGGATGTATTCAGGTTCTTATGGTGGTCCAAACACAAGTACTCGCCCTCCAGCCAGTGTCGCCACTCCTCGAGAGCCCGTTTGACTGCCAGCAGTTCGCAGTTCCCAACATCGTAATTCCTTTCTGGGGGAGATAAACGATAGGATAAAAAGGCAAGAAGTTTGTTATCCTCGGGAGACCGCTGGGACAGGACAGCTCCGACACCCACGTCCGAGGCGTCGACTTCAACCACAAACTGTCTTGATGAGTCTGGCTGAGAGAGAATTGGAGCTGAGGTGAACCTTTTCTTAAGCTCTGACAAGGCTCCATCAGCCTCGGAGGTCCAGAGGAATGGTCTAGCAGGGGAGGTAAGTGCGGTTAAGGGTGCAGCAATGCGGCTGTAATTTCTAATGAAGCGTCTATAGAAATTAGAAAAACCCAAGAATCTCTGAAGCTGCTTCCTACTGTCTGGCTTGGGCCAATCCAGGACTGCTCTCACCTTCTATGGATCCATCCTCACTTGACCCTTGGCGATGATGTGGCCGAGAAAAGTGACTGTGGAGGCGTGGAACTCACATTTCTCTGCCTTGATGAATAGCCGATTCTCTAGTAGCCGCTGGAGGACTTGGTGAACATGCTGGACGTGCTCTGCTTGGTTCTGGGAAAAAATGAGTATGTCATCAAGGTAAACAAACACAAATCTGCCCAACATATCTCTCAACACATCATTTACCAAGCACTGAAAAACTGCTGGTGCGTTGGTGAGGCCATCGGGCATAACTAGATACTCAAAGTGCCCCAGTGGAGTGTTAAACGCAGTTTTCCATTCATCCCACTCACGGATCCGAACTAGGTGGTAGGCATTGCGCAGGTCTAGTTTAGAAAAAAACGTTGCCCCCTGGAGGGATTCAAAGGCAGAGTTCATGAGAGGAAGTGGGTATTTGTTCTTAACTGTAATGTCATTCAAACCTCTGAAGTCACGGCCTGAGTGTCCCGTCCTTTTTGCCCACGAAGAAAAACCTGGCTCCCAGAGGTGATGAAGAGGGACGGATGATCCCTGCCGCTAGCGAGTTGTTAATGTAGTCCTCCATAGCTGCCCGCTCTGGCCTGGAGATGTTATACAGACGGCTACGGGGAAACATGGAACCTGGCAGCAGGTCGATGGCGCAGTCGTATGGTCGGTGGGGGGTAGAGAGAGGGCCTGCTGTTTACAAAACACTTTAGAAATCCCATGGTACTCAGCGGGGATTAGCGACAGGCAGTGGCGTGCACAAAGGGGGGGCAGGCCGTCGCCCCCCCCCTCGTGGTCCAATTGTTGAAAAACTCGTATTAAAGTACCCTCTTGGGAGCCAAAATGTGTGTAAAGTGCTCTCTTGGGAGCCAAAACGATGCTAAACTGCCCTCTTGGGCGCCAAAATGTGTGCTAAACTGCCCTCAAGTGCCCTCTTGGGAGCCAAAACGCGTGCTAAAGTGACCTCTTGGGAGCCAAAACGATGCTAATCTGCCCTCTTGGGAGCCAAAACGCGTGCTAAAGTGCCCTCTTGGGAGCCAAAACGGTGCTGAAGTGCCCTCTTGGGAGCCAAAACGCGTGCTAAAGTGCCCTCTTGGGAGCCAAAACGATGCTAATCTGTCCTGTTGGGAGCCAAAATGTGTGCTAAACTGCCCTCTTGGGAGCCAAAACGCGTGCTAAAGTGCCCTCTTGGGAGCCAAAACGGTGCTGAAGTGCCCTCTTGGGAGCCAAAACGCGTGCTAAAGTGCCCTCTTGGGAGCCAAAACGATGCTAATCTGCCCTCTTGGGAGCCAAAATGTGTGTAAAGTGCCCTCTTGGGAGCCAAAACGATGCTAATCTGTCCTGTTGGGAGCCAAAATGTGTGCTAATCTGCCCTCTTGGGAGCCAAAACGCGTGCTAAAGTGCCCTCTTGGGAGCCAAAACGGTGCTGAAGTGCCCTCTTGGGAGCCAAAACGCGTGCTAAAGTGCCCTCTTGGGAGCCAAAACGATGCTAATCTGCCCTCTTGGGAGCCAAAATGTGTGTAAAGTGCCCTCTTGGGAGCCAAATCGGTGCTGAAGTGCCCTCTGGGAGCCAAAATGCGTGCTAAAGTGCCCTCTTGGGAGCCAAAACGATGCTAATCTGCCCTCTTGGGAGCCAAAATGTGTGCTAAACTGCCCTCAAGTGCCCTCTTGGGAGCCAAAACGCGTGCTGAAGTGCCCTCTTGGGAGCCAAAACGTGTGCTGAAG